TTCCTTTTCTCATTTCTATAAAAGTTATATACATTTTTTTCTATTTAACAGAGTTTGCATTCTTTTTATTTTTAGTTTTCTATTGATACCAACATAACATTAAATTTTATGAGCAGCTTTTTATATTAAAACATAAAAGTATGAAAAGAAAAATATTGAAGTATAAAAGGCAACATGGCTTTATATGCTATAATATGTATATTTTTTAATGTTAAATTCGTTATTTCATACGCAGGTAGTTCACCGTGATTTAGCTGCTAGAAATATCCTCGTTTCCGTTGGAAAGATATTGAAGATCTCCGACTTTGGGTTATCTAGGGACGTCTATGAAGAAGATACATACACTAAGAGAAGCAGAGTAGGTTATGATATCAAATATTAAAGATCAATGCAGTAATTCGTATGTACTGTTTTGCAGTGAAAATAATGAATAGAGGGGTAGATAAAAAGATTGATTAAAATATACATTACTAATATTTTGATTATGTTACAAAGATCTGATCAATATTACAAATGCGAATTAAAATAAGTGTTTCCATCATATTAGGGCCGTGTTCCTGTCAAATGGATGGCACCGGAGTCACTTTATGATCATATATACACAACTAAAAGTGACGTGTGAGTACGCCCATTCATTTTAGTAAACATATTAAGATACTTAAGGTGCATTTCATTTATTAAGAAAGTACATTTACGCACTTGTCCTGTTTCTCTTCCTGGTAAGACTAATGGTAATGAGTAAAGCCGCATTCAACGGCATATAAACCTAGTAGTGTTTTTCTCGGAGAAAAACATCTTTGCAGACTCCTCCTTTTGTAAGGGAAAATTAATTTCATACTATTTTCTGGAAGCACATTTTCTTATTATTATTATTATTATTACTCCTGCGATTTCACGTGCTTTCAAGTAATTGATAATTTGTAATTTCTTCGTCAGTTAATTCCTGTATTGAAACTTAAAAGCAAGCATTAATCGACTGGTTGTCTTTTGAACGTCTCTAAAAGGTTTCATATCTTTTGTAGGATATTCAAGGTTGTTGGTCTATTGACAGGTCATACGGTTTACAGTTTGATTGTAAACAGCAAACAAAAGTATGGCGGGTTATTTAGTTATGGGAAACAACTGTCTTGAATTTTTAATTTGTTGTTTTCTTAGGTGGTCATATGGCATAGTTCTATGGGAAATAGTAACTTTGGGTAAGAAAATAATTTTCTAGATTTTTTAATAATATTGGTGGTACCTCTTCATCGCCGATATTTTAATTAGTGACCGCTTTAACTTCCTGAAGTCAACTAAATCATACTCTTTTTGTTTTGATACACAGTGTTTTAAATTAATGCCATCTTGCTCACAAGCAAGTTTTGCATATTACCCACAAACATTAGTTCTGTATATATATATGTCATCCACGCGTGAAAAATGAATGTTTACAAACTTAAAATTTTACTTGAGAAACATGGTAAAACCCATGCTTTGGTATAGTATAATATAATATACTATCGCTTGCTTATGCACAGGTGCCACGCCCTACCCAGGTATCCCACCAGAGCGGTTGTTTAACTTACTGAAAACGGGATACCGCATGAGCTTGCCAAGTAACTGCTCAGAAGAACTGTAAGTCTGCCATTGGTGATTGCTTAAATTCTTCCTACCTGTGCAGATTGTCAGTCTGTTTTACTGTGGCGATATGTGAATGCTGTGTGGATATTGTGATGGAATTCAAGATTTATTATCTCTTTTCACTTCATTTATATCTTAAGAAAATGAAATATTTTCGTAAGTGTAGTGTATGTAGTATATGTACATTGAAATCAAATATAACGCCATGTGCACGTTCAGAAGTACAAGAGAGCACAAATATGATATTATTCATTTCTCTGCCTAGATATCACATCATGTCTAGGTGTTGGGCGGAGGAGCCAACAAGTCGTCCAGAGTTTAAAGAACTGGAGAACATCTTTGACAAGATGTTGCAAGAAAATGTCGACTACCTAGACCTAAGCAATACAGTAGAACAAAACCCTATCGTAGACGACGACCAGGATTCATCTAGACCTAACGGTATTGGTAAGTATATACCATTTTGAAATTTTGTAGGCGTTTAAGGAAACACAAAGTATGGTTAGTTCATAATCGATATCAGGACATAAACTGATGGGGGTGGGGGGGGGGATCTCAATTGGTTTACGTAAATTGTGTTAGCTTAGATTTATTTGACTAGGTTGTAAGCTACATTAGACCGAGTGGCCCATTTGTGTCAGCACATTAGATGAACCACTATCGATCTCTGACACCGTTATAATCTCCAAAAAACGCTTGTAACTGTGTATGTCATTTATCACTCACTCGTTGATTCATTGTTTCCCTTAATTTATCTTTCATTATTTCTCGTTCAATATTTTAGGGCGATTGGATGTAGTGCCGAGAGTGACAACAGAAGATGACTATGGCAGTATTCATGTTGTCCCCATGGACGATAGCGCTTACCTCCAACCCCAATCAGCAAACCGAAATAACAACACGAAATACTTTACTCTTCTTGCTAATAGTAACCGGCTGGGGTTGGTGTGTAATGGGACTTCGCCAAAGAAGTCCAGGCGAAGTGAAGAACTGTACAACCACTCACTGCTGGCGGATAATGTTTTATATAGCATATCTGACTCCGAGGACACCGATGGAGATGCGTGGGAACGCAACACGTTGGTTCAGGTTAAGACGAAAAGGAATTCATTGCCAGAGGGTGATAGTGAGAGTGTAGGTGGAGATTCTATACGAAGCACTGTTGTTTAAACATTGAAAAAACATTGGTTAGAAGAGCTGAACACATTATTTCGAGCTGTTGTAGATATTTTAGACGTCGGTTGAGGTGAAAGAGGTCTGTTTAATGATATTTGTGTTCAACTCACGGGTCTGTATAATATACAATCAAAGACCATTTTACGTTAAACTGGCGAACAATATACCAAAGTGTAAGTAATATATTTTTCTTACGTGGATCATTATTTGTTGTAAAAAACTGTCTTGTGATTTTAAATCTCTAGTACTTAAAAGGGCTGTCTGTGAATAATTCATTGCTTTTATCTCTTCTTACTTTTGATCAAATACGTCTCAAGACCATGTGCAGTCGTAATATTGAATCAGTGGTCGAATGGTATGTAATGACAAAGATCTTGTATAGAATGTCGGGAAAACGGACTAATACATTGAATGTCATGAAGACAGTTTACATCAGTCGGGCGATTTTACACTGCTAGGGGATGATTTTAATAACAACTAGATATGGTATGATAACATAGACAGCAAGAGAAAGGGGAAAAAGAATTTAATTTTTAAATAAGCTGAAAGATATTACTAGAAATTACATGATTTTATAGATGCTTCACTGAGTGTTTTAATTTTTTTCCAAATATTGTTTTGATATTGTTCCATTGCTAGCAATTTTATATCAGATAAATTGTAATCGATAGTGATAAAAATCTGTAATTTCATGACCTCGTGGAATGACATGCAAAAAAAAAAAAAAAAAAAAAAAAAATAGAACAAACCGAAGTGATAATTTTACACCATGGTCACTGAAAAGCACCTCACGGAACTGCACATAAAATACGATTCAGCTCAAAAATGGCGAATGTGTCGTCAGTCAAAACGATTAAACAATGACACAATTTTTATTTTTCTTAGAAATGTATCTTTGTATTTCACTTTCGCGTAGAATGACTTGACGTTTTGAATGCTGTGCACAGTGAACCATCACTATTACGAGCAAAATAATTATCTAAAAAAAACAAGTATAATGCAAGCCAAATTATACAAACGTAGTGGTAAAATTCTGTCAATTGAAATACTAGAACAACAAATATAATTTGTACTGCGCCTACCCTGTGATAAACATGAATAGCCCCTCGAAGAGCAATTAAGACGAGCCCTGTGGAATGTCGAGTCTTTTATTATACCCTTATTCCAAAAAAGATTTCTGCGTGACATTGTCTCCTCGGTGTATGCACATTTGGTTTCAGGTAGATCCATTGAAATGGCGTAGACCTAGACTTCATACATATATTTGCAATAAAGGCCATAACGTAAGATTCTTGTTAACCCAAGAAGCTTCTCCTCACAGTCAACACTGACTACTTTTGCTGAGCATTTGCTGCCTTAGTCACTTTCTGAATAAAATATTAATTCTGTAATCATTTACGTTCGTTTTCTGGTCTTGTAAATCATTAAAAAAATGAACTAGAGGGGTGGTGGGGCTATTTACCGGATATTTGCGTCATTGATGTCATATGAATTACGCATTACATTACACCGCGATCTGCACTTGCAACAGTCACTTCCATATCCGGTTGATAACCCAGTATTCTCTCGTTAACCCCTCAAATGATCAAAATTCGCTGAAAATAATTGCAAACGATTAGCAGTTTGATCAGATTATTCATAGTTAGGCCCCAGAAAGTGACGAAAAGAGTTGAGAAATCATGCACGTTAAAAACCCGTGATTGATATGCCAAATAGTGTGATACAAGGCTTCACTATTATCATTGTCTCCCAAGTCTACGCCATTCAGAGCTCTCTGATCGTGGTCTGAATATCCTGAGAAGTTTTATATGAGAAGTTTTCCATCGGGTTAGGTAAAACTTCGGGGACACTGCGTCAACCAAGGCCAGTCACATCGCCGGGTTTCGTTGATGAAGTACTGCCCAAGGGGACAGTCCTTTATATACGGGATATTATGAGAACAGTGAATCCACTTGTCACACTGGTACGGGCAGGGATGTGGGTAAATACCATTGGGGTCCGGAGAACATGTAACTGAAAAATGAAGTAAAAATTTAATGGATGTATGTTCAAACAGTAAAAACGGACACTTAAGCGATAAAAGGCCATTATGTATTTGCGATGATGTGTTTTGTTCATTTTACAACTTTATGTTCATGTTCAAAGAAACAATTCAATAAGGTGCTGGGTATTATGCAAGTACTCACATCCATGATCACTGAAGTCACAAGGTGGTCTTAAGTCGTCTGTTTCGTCGTAGCTGCTGTGTCTTGTAAAATTGTACAAATGTTCAATGAACGCCATTGATTTGTTATAGTACGATATGATGATAGTGGATACCACAATCGGCTGTATTCCAAAATTGCAGAAAGAACCGTCGAAATCACCGGAATCTATGGAAAAGAACATCAAACCTCCGAGACCCCGCTCTTCGACGTAGAGTGCCTGCAAGTACCAGTCATGATAATTCGAATGGTGTGCCATTAAATAGAATCGGTCTAAAACATTTATGAATATAAACGATTTACGAACGTTTTAGACAGACATTTTAGATACAATGCATCCAACCAAAATGCATCAACTTGAAAATAACGACTTAAATTTAATTTCTTATAGGCTACCTTCCACTCGCAGCGTTCCTCTGTTAGAGGAATTAAGATACAGGATGGAAATTTTATACAGTTTGAACATGAAGTTTATTACAGACAACTTCTATCAATCGAAATGAACATCATCTCGCATCTATCCAATGAAAGAAGGACTATACTGTATAACATACCGCCATTTACATGCGTATTTACCTTGCGTGCTGAACTGATCGGGCACTCGAAGCTGACCCACTCCCCAGTCTGGCGGTTATAGAAGTAAGGAACCTGGTGCTCCTCGTGCCAAATTAACGTGTAACCCGTCTCCTCTAGTAGCATGGGGCAAATCTGAACATAGGAGCAGATTAAAGATCTTTTTGAATAGCAGTTAATTTCATTTTTTTGTACAATCTTGGTTGTTTTAATTTCATTTACATTTAATTTATTTTTAAAATCTCAATTAGCCTTGCAATTTAAGAACTCAGTACTGCAATTGATTAAGATTTGAAAATAAAAAAATTGAGAAATTAAAATGGCAAATTAAGGCTTCGTTCACATGGAATGTCTATTTTCTAAAAATCTATTTTCTATTCGCGCTATCTTATGATCACGGTCTGTGCCCTGAATATCCCGCCGTTTTAATGTAATTACTGGCAGCGCGAGCCAGTTACTTATAGTAACTTATAGTAACTGGCTCGCGCTGCCAGTAATTACCCGCAAGAAAACGCAGTAGATACTCCAGCGCAGTAGACTACTGCAATCATACTGCAAACATGCTTCAAATCTGCTTCGATTTGGGAGCTAATTAGCATATTTGAAACATGCTTCTATCATGCTGCTAATCTACTGCATTAATGCTCCTCTCTGTACAAACCTATGTACTTTTTGGAGTAGAATTGCAGTAGGCTATGCTGCATTTCTACTGCAAATATGCTCCACACCACTATTGCGCTAATGCTTTTTTGCTACTTCGATACTACTGCATTTTCGTGCGGGTACGCCGCGGGATATTCAGGGCACAGACCGTGATCATAAGACATACCGCAAATAGAAAATAGAATTTAAAAAATAGACATTGCATGTGAATGAAGCCTTAGAAAATANACTTACCTCATTAAATCCCAGCATACCGGATGCTCGGCTGTACGGACCGAATTTTGGCCCCGCTCCGGTAGAGGGTGCTCCCACGCCAAATTGAAAGTCATTGGCCAAGTGAAAAGTACGCCCATATAGAGGTATGCCCAGATTGATGTTTACCGGGTCGAAGCCATTTTTGATGTAGTATTCAACAGTCCATTTCTATATAAGAAAATACATGTATATCTCATCTGAATGCACGTTTGTGCAGCGTATGGTATAAAATTTTTGAAGACAGCTTTAGCTACAAAAAGAAAAACCTACATATATTTCAATCTACTTATTTGGGAATGAGAGTTCAAAATTAATGAAATGCTACTGATGAGTCTGAGGACAATAACCATTGTAAATAAACTTACCGCGTTGAATTCTTGGGCCGGGTCCTTAGTTCTGGGGTTAAGGGCGTTGTGAATTCCAGTAGGTGAATACTCCCAGCTCCCATGGTAGTCATACGCCATGATATTGATAAAATCTACCCAGCTAGAAAGAATACACTTACAAATGCCATATTGATGACAAACAGGTCTTTTTCATAAATAAAAAGACCGCAGATATACAGTACTTTAAAAATGAGCAGAAGAAGAATCTTATACTGTGCATAATAATCCTGCTCTTTATAGTATGCAATAATTAATGCCCCTGCCCATTAATTCGGATAAACTATTGAAAGTTGTTTATATTTTCAACTACCACTAAAAACTTATAGTGAAATCTCGATATATTTCCTGTGGTTTAAGCCTTGGCGATTAGTTTGACACATTTGGGTGAATCTCCATCACTTTTTAGCAGTGCAGTTTTGAGTTAGTGTTCTTATGTTGCATACTTTTACATCGGACACAAAATGTTTTGTCTTGTCCAGTTATACGATGAAATACAGTTATTTATAATGAATATGACTGGTATAAAGTCAGCGATTAATTTAATCAATGCTATGACAAAGAAATGCGATGATTTGTTTGTTTGTTTCAACAATATTATTACACGACACTTTTAGAACACACTTACTTTCGCAAGGCCTCAATGTCAAAACCTCTGTCAATGATCCACCTGCCGGCTGGCACCGTGGCACTTAGAATGCGTTTCTCGTTCCCCATAGCTTCATTGGCCCAGAAGTTAATGTACAGTGCCTTAAGTATGATAATACATACATACAAACAGAATAATTTGTTCGATAATTCAGCATTTGTTGAGTATACTAAAAGCCAGCTTTGTTACATGTATTATATATAACACCATAAGGAAAGTGCAATAGTATTTTTGCTAGTAAATTTAACCCCACAATGAAGATTACCTGTCAATCTTGGATATACCGTATATGCACAATTCAACAATACATTCCTGTCGCGGTATTTATGCCTTCTTTCGTGTGTGTATTATTCATGCTAGTTTTTTTTTTTTATATAAAAATTAATGTTTTATAAGTGAACAAATTAAAGACTCCAATTTTAAGGATTCAAAAATAAGTAGTCCCTCCAAACGTTGTCAGAAAATACAATTGCCAAACCCACACATTCTAAATAAGAAATAATTTTTGATCGACATTGCCTTCCATCAAACTAAAGAATCAGTCCAAAATGAAGGAGAGAAGGGATAGAAAATAATCTCACCGACATCAGTTCAATGTATTTGAGCCTGTCAGTGTAGGGGCTGCCCAAACTCCCAGGATAGCACCAGTTGATGTCCACACCATCAAAGCCATACTTGTTTAGGAATCCGCCCACACTTCTGGTGAAGTGGAGTATCTTGTTTTGGTCGGAAGCCATCATGTGGAAAGGGAGGGAGCCCACTGCCCAACCTCCTATTGATATCATCACTTTCAGTCTGGGGGTGTACCTCTTTAAATCTACCAGTTGGCGGTAAAACCCTGAAGAGTATAACAATAGGCACGTATGTTAAGTCTTAGTAAAAATGCACCAGTAATAAGTGATCGGATTCATCATAACTGCCAAACATTAGGGGAGACCGGGGCTAGTTGGACCCAGGGGTAAGTTGGCCCCCCATCAATTTATGACAAAGTAACTATGGGGTAAAAGAAATGACCACATCATTTTATAAAGTGACCGTGTCCAACAGCGCTAAGAAAGCGTCGGCAGTGAGTCCAAATGAAATAATTTAGCATCTTA